CTTTGACGGATCGTCCAACATAGGATCGCCCCTCTCCGATGGTCAATCCTTTCCGCTATTCTTGTTCCCCTTCCCTCCGCAGATCATACTTCTTCCTTCAGTGTAAGCTTCGGCGTACCTATATCATAAACACTGCAAGTACGCATCGCATCACGACAGTCAGCCCCAACAACAACCTAAACACCGCTTGAACGTCTCAGCCGTCAAAATGGGTGCGTATGAGCTTCTTTTCTACGATGAAAACTTCTCTTAACTAACATGCTATGACGCATCGCCTTCACGGGACTACGACTACACGCGCACTAAGAAGCGCCTGTATCTTGATCCTCCAACCTACGATCGCTCCGTCGTTCGCACTCGTCGAACCACATTCGTCCCCCCGCCGCCACCACCTCCTGTCGTCTACAAGCCTCCCACTCCGCCTCCTGTCATCTGCAAGCCTGCACGCCGCCGCCTCCTGTCGTTGTCGAGCCGCCTCCGCCTCCTCCGCCCGTCATCTGCGAGCCCCTACCGCCACCGCCGCCACCAGTGTGCCCCCCCTCCCCAGAGCCCGGCATCGAAGTCATAGCCGTCGACGTCGACCCTGTCGAGAAGAAGCGCCGCCGTCGCAGGTCCCACTCGCGCCACAGCGGGAGTCACTCGCGCGAAGTCTACATTGAGCGCGAGAAGATTGTTCCCGTCCGCGTGCCCGTCCCCGTTCCACAGCCGCAACAGCCCGAATACGAAACATTTCGCTACGTCGACGCGCCGAGGCGGTCGCCGCCTCGGATCATGCCTGCGCCGCCGAGAGAAGAGCGCGAAGAGGACCGCATGCGCATCATGATTCACGACAGGCGGCGTGAGAGAGAATACGTCGACGATGGGTATCAGGGCAGTGGGAGCGACCGTGGGTACGATCGCGGATATGATCGCGTGCGATACTACTAGGCCTGAGAATGCTCCTTCTTTTCCTTTTGATAGGCGTTCTGGTTCTTTCTCTACTGTTTCTGGCGAAGCGCTGTGATTTGTGGCGCTGGCACCCGCCTGTACGAATTCATGGATAGAGCGGGAGAATGATCTCTAGCGTGGGTTCGGATTAGGCTATGATGATGACCAATTCACGAAATGTCTACTTCATACTATTCTGAACCATTGTTGTCGTTACTGTGCCGAATATGAAATGCACGACCTGGCCACGACGAGATCCCCATCACCTATCCCTCCCATGTGACCGACTCCAGAATACTACCAAACACACGAAACACGTTACGACCATCACGAGATCCAACCGTCAGTCAACTCGATCGCCAACTATCCACTCATCAGCTGTCAAGTGTCGCGCTCGTCATCCGCCTGTCTCGCAATCCGTCGCAGCGGCACGCCCTCCTCAACCCTCAGCATTCGCCCCAGTCCATCTCTATTGTCCACGAGCCTCACCATCCTCTCCCTTGTCGTGTCTTCCATACGCGACATGTCCATCATCACCGCCACTTTGCTCTCTGGGAGTTCCAGACTCTGGGAGCACCACCGGCACCTGCACGTTCTGCCACCGCGTCTCCCGCCTCGTGCGCCACGCCACGACAATGCAGAAGACGGCTCTGAGAAGGAGTAGGGCGCCGGGTACACGGTATAGCGAAGGTTGGCGACGTAGTGGATCACGCCGCGATGGACGGTGCCGAAGGCCTGCTGCCAATAGTTGCTTGTAGCACGGATCGCACAGGTCGTTAAGTAGGCAATGTTATTCACAAACGGTTCCAAAGTGGATGCGAGAGGGCTAGAAAGATCATCCGCTTTGAGATTTCCCACGACAGTCTCCCCCTCGGCGAGGCTCTGGTGCATATGCCAGGCCGTGAGCCAGGATCCATAAAGCATCTCAGTGAAGTTGTCGTCGTAGCTCAGGAATGTGTTTCCGGGCTCGCCAGGCAAGATGCCTACTGATCCGAAGAGGTACGGGTCCAGTGAGTTTTCAGGCCGCGGTTGGCTTGCGGGAGACGCGGCATGCGCAGTTGCCCTATTCGCCCGATTCTTGTACTGGGGTGTTCACGTTGCACGGCCATGGAGCGGTGAGGAATAGGTCGTCGTCATCTGACGACGGCATATCTAGGGGCTGATCGTATGGGGTTTCGCGTAGGTCATGAAAATGACGGTGATTGTTCTGCGCCGTGACGCTACCAGACTTATGTGCCATCCAGCAGAGTATGCATTCGATTGCTTCAGAGGTCGCAGTGTTTCCAAACGAATACGGTGGCAAGGCTCTCCCATTGTATGCACAGTCTGGACCGGGCATGTGAGGCTCGCGTCATGACATTGGGAAGCCGCATCCAGACCAAACTCCGAGGCCCTCCTGACTTGCTCGAGGTCAGTCGTCCAGAGGTTTGTACTCATCTGCGGAATATCATACCACGCACGTGAGGCCCCTTAGCAAGTATCCAGCCTGAAGAGTCTGTCAGTTTTTTGGCATCTTTCTTTTTTAAAGAACACGCAATCCCTTGAAACATGTCCAGGACTGTTCCACAAACTCAT